GACCAGTGAGAGGGACCTTGATGTTTGTGAAGACAGCATGAAACAGGCAGATATGTTCGAACAGGTTGTTGTTAGGAAGGAGGATGTGCTAGAAATTTTGAAAAACCTGAGGATAGATAAGTCCCCTGGGCCAGACGGGATATACCCAAGGTTACTACGGGAAGCGAGGGAAGAGATTGCTGCCCCTTCGGCAATGATCTTTGCGTCCTCACTGTCCACTGGAGTAGTGCCAGAAGATTGGAGAGTGGCAAATGTCATTCCTTTTTCAAGAAAGGGAATAGGGATAATCCTGGAAATTACAGACCAGTCAATATTACTTCTCTGGTGGGCAAATTATTGGAAAGGATTCTGAGAGATAGTATTTATGATTATTTGGAAAAGCACAGTTTGATTAGACATAGTCAGAATGGCTTTGTGAGGAGCAGGTCAAGCTTCACAAGTCTTATTGAATTCTTTTGAGGATGTGACAAAACACATCGATGAAGGTAGAGCAGTGGATGTGGTGTCTATGGATTTTAGCAAGGCATTCGATAAGGTTCCACATGGTAGGCTCATTGAGAAAATAAGGAGGTATGGGATTCAGGGAAATTTGGCGGTCTGGATACAAAACTAGCTGTTCAATAGAAGACAGAGGGTGGTAGTAGATGGAAAGTATTCAGCCTGGAGCTCGGTGACTAGTGGTGTGCCACAGGGATCTGTTCTGGGACCTCTGCTCTTTGTGATCTTTATAAATGACTTGGATGAGGAAGTGGATGGGTGGGTTAGCAAGTTTGCCGATGACACAAAGGTTGGTGGAGTTGTGGACAGCATGGAGGACTGTTGTAGGTTGCAACAGGATATTGACAAGATGCAGAGGTGGGCAAAGAAGTGGCAGATGGAATTCAACCCGGAAAAGCGTGAAGTGATTGATTTTTGGAAGGTCGAATTTGAATGCAGAATACAGGGTTAATGACAGGATTCACGGCAGTGTGGAGGAACAGAGGGATTTTGGGGTCCACGTCCATAGATCCCTCAAAGTTGCGACCCAAGTTGATAGGCTAGCAAAGAAGGCGTATGGTGTGTTGGATTTCATTGGCAGGGGAATTGAGCTTAAGAGCCGCGGGGTTATGCTGCAGCTCTATAAAACTCTGGTTAGACCGCACTTGGAATATTGTGTTCAGTTCTGGTCACCTCATTACAGGAAAGATGTGGAAGCTTTAGAGAGGGTGCAGAGGAGATTTACCAGGATACTGCCTCGACTGGAGGGCAGGTCTTATGAGGAAAGGTGGACGGAGCTAGGGCTCTTTTCATTGGAGCGAAGAAGGATGAGAGGTGACTTGATAGAGGTTTACAAGATGATGAGAGGCATAGATAGAGTGGATAGTCAGAGACTTTCTCCCAGGGCAGAAATGACTATTACGAGGGGGCATAATTTTAAGGTGATTGGAGGAAGGTATAGGGGAGATGTCAGAAGTAGGTTCTTCACACAGAGAGTGGTGGGCGTGTGGAATGTACTGCCGGCAGTGGTAGTGGAATCAAATATTTTAGAGTCAAATACTTTCAAGCGCCTCTTGGATCGGCACATGGAGGATAGTAAAATTTAGGGTATGCAGGGCGGATTGACCTTAGTAGGATAATAGGTCGGCACAACATCGTGGACCGAAGGGCCTGTATTGTTCTGTGTTCTGTGTCTTAATTGAGGTAAAGAAGATCAGGCACTTGGATAAAGTAGACAGAGAAGACCTGTTTCCCTTCATAGAGTATACAAGTATTTAAGATGATTGTCAGTAAGATTAGAGAGCAGTTGAGGTAAAACCTTTTCAACCAGAGGGTAGTGAGTGTCTGCAGTTCACTGCCTTTTTTTGTTATTGAAGCGGAAGCCCTCAACTCATTTGAAGGGAATCTGGATCCGCACATGAAGTGCTGTGACCTGCAAGGCTGTGGACTAGATGTTGGAAAGTGGGATTAGAAAGGTTGGCTAGTTTATTCAGGCAGAGCAGACATAGTAAACTGACCTCCTATGCTGTATCTGTTCAACACTTCTATGGTAACTTGTATTGATTCTGAGTTTTAAGTACTGATAAATGTCACATTTGGCAAAGCTGTGACAACTTGCAAGTACCAAACTAAATGCAAAATGTGCTTGTACTGTTGGAGGGGAAGAGAAATGACTAGTTGGCCAGTTTCTGTTTCATTGCATTTGATGTTCACTTTGTTTGAATCTGTCAATAAAAAGTGTCTTGTTTTAAACTGAGAAGTCATGTTCCATGACAACAAGGTGCAGGGCTGGATGAACACAGCAGGCCAAGCAGCATCATAGGAGCAGAGAGGCTGACGTTTCGGGCCTAGACCCTTCATCAGAAAAGGGGGAGGGGAAGGGGGTTTTGAAATAAATAGGGAGAGAGTGGGAGGCGGATAGAAGAGGGATAGAGGAGAGGATAGGTGAAGAGGAAACAAACAGGTCGAAGAGGTGGGGATGGAGCCAGGAAAGGTGAGTGTAGGTAGGG